GACTGACCGTGGGGCGCCTGCACAGGAGCAGTGCTGGAGGACGGTTCCGATGTCTCTGCTGGCCCTGGGCAGACTCACAGCAGGAAGTCAACTCTTGCAGAAACAGAGTAGTGAGAGTTAGGGGCACCGGTGAACCAAGAAGTGGCCAAGTCACAGGATGTACACACTGTGCATTAGAAGTCTGTGTTCCAAGCTTATGCGGTGATGCCGAGCCCACCGACGATGAGCGCTTTCCTAGAACATCTGCCTTTCATTCTCTCAGGTAGACAAAGGACGAGCAGGTTTTAAAGTAACAGGGACCAAATCAACACATTAAGGAATGGTGGAAATGCACAGAAATCTGACACAGAGACAGAGAAACGGGTCAGAGTCATTTAGTGAGGTCAAATATCTTGTTTGCTGGGCTAGCAGTTGAGGTTGGTTAAAAGACACTTGGGAAGCCTGGCCCAGCGATGTGTGCCTGTCATCTCAGCTACTTGGGAGGCTGAGGCAGGACTGGCTGGAGCCAGTCTGAGCTACACAGTAAGGACTATCTCAAAAAAAAAAAGTAGCACTTGGAAGTTAACTTTGGAGTAGTTGGCATTTTACAGATTTGGGTGGAAAATTATGATAAATGAGTGTATCATTACCTACTTTTAGTACAGTAATATAGCAGCAAAATAATACAAGGAGGGGAAGAAGTCAGGCAGAAAAAAACTTGAGAACTTTTTATAGGGAGATAACATTATTTAGTAAGACATATAAGAGGAGCAAACACTGAGTGGGTGGTATGATTCAGAGTACAAATCTATCAGATGATAGAAAGGTTAGTTAGTAGAGATAAAATAAGATGAATTAAAGTAATACATTTAGAAAAGAGTACGCAGGCCACAGAGGAGACTGTCAAAACAGTGAGAAGACTGACAGGCTCTAGAATGGCTGGGATCCTTTCAACTACCAGGCATGAGGAGAGCTGCAAACACAGAGGAAGCTAAACTACCAAGTAGTAAGATCTCAGCAGAGGCTGAGCTGAGCATGTAGCACTTTTTATGATAAGGACACCTGGAGGAGAAAAGTTCAATGAGGAAACTGAAGTGAAATGGAGTCACAGGGAGCTGGGAATCCTGTGGTGTAGTAGGCACCATCTTAAAATGCAGTTGGGGAAGAATTCTGGTCCAGTGGGTGCCATTTTGAGTTACAGTTTGGGAAGAATGCTGGGAGGCTGGAGCCAGGGGAAGGATGAAGACATGAGGGGAAGCCTGGAATATCTCACAGAAGGGCGAAGCTGAGACAGGCAGGTTGGAGAACATCTGTAAATCAGCAGCGTTGTCTCCTGCTGGTCTACGTCAGCACCAGTATACCCTGAGAGTATATCACATCTCTGAAAAGCCTAATTTCTTTCACCAGTGGCACCCCTGGCCTGCAAAACCTAAAGTGAAGAACAGTGGATCTTACTTTCCTCTACAGGCCGTTGAAGGTGTAAAGCAATGGCCAAGGGTGCTTTGAGGACAAGGATGGGTGGAGCCAGTTTAACAAGAGATCCAAGGGTTTCATTCATGTGGTGCTGTGGGAGACAGTGAGACATGATGGTCATGCTCTCGCAAATGGATAAAGAAAATTAAGGCAGAAGGGACTGATAGCAGAGGAGGAGGTTTGAGAATGCAGTCTTATGACTCATAATCTGGTGCAAACTGCCCAGGAAACCAGCTCCTTAGCTCCAGTCCCCAGCCCAGGAAGCCAGCCTGCTCTAAGTCAAACTTGAAGGAAATCAGACTGCTATCTCTAGTAACAATCCTGGGAGCTAAATAATAACCGCTATCACAATTGGTCCCAGATGATTGGGACTTGCTAAGTAACTGGCGGCTTCCGTAATTTTTATCCCCACTTTCAACTGGAGACCAACTAGAGAAAGCCAGATATGCTCCCCTAACACAGAACACACTTCTAGCTTGTCACGTCCAACTTTCCTATAAACAGCCCAGTCAGATCACTCCTGGAGCCTCCCATCCTCCCACAGTGCAGCTCGACCACTGTTCTGCCTGCCTTTGAGTCTCTGCAAGACACAGCGCATGGTGGCTGACTCCTTTGCTACACCTGTCTCTGAATAAACGCCCCCTCCGTTCCACATGGTTGGTCTTCATCTAGTTCCACAAAGCCAAAGACTCAAATCAGGATAAAGAGTTGATTGAGTACAAGTGAGGAAGTGCAAGGCCAACTGTGAATATAGAAGAGGGATTTCTGGACCCACGATCTGCTGTGTTTCCTGATGCTCTGCTATGGATTTACCTAACGTGGAGTCCTCCTAAATCTTGTGACATAGACTTTTGTTTAATCCAGCATTTTTAAGGGAAGTGAAACTAAAGTGCCCTTTGTAATTCATCTAAGTTGGAGCAGAGTCCAAGGACAGATTTATTTTTTTTAACCAAGTCAAGTTACTCTCCCAGTGCACCCCAACATCCCTCAAAGTGGTTATGACCCTGGTACATTGCCACAGGCATCTCCTTAATGGTAGTGGGACTCCATGTTCAGTCTCTAGGTTCTCCGCTAGTAGCTGAAGTAATTCAATTAATGTCCTTCCCAAATTTACAAAGTTAGAAGGTGGGAGGAAAGATCTGAACTTAGATCTTTCTGATTTCAAAAGGCCATGGTCATTCAGTACAACAGGCAGACTTGGAGCAGGAGCTGTGTGTGGCCAGGTAGGCGCAAAAGTGACGCAGATATTACATTCATTGATCTGGAGGAGGCGAAAACCTGGTACAGCTAGGGAGTGGGGTAGCACTTTCAGGTTACTGAAGATGCTGGCAATGGATGAGACTAATGACTAGGAGAGGGCTGTTAGTGAAGCACGAAAATAGGTGAGAGAGAATCCTGGAAAGTAGGAGATGATGTTGCCTAGGAGGACAAGGAGAAGGGATGGATGCTGTAATAGCACTCATTAAATTAACACGAGAATAGAATAATGGTACAGAAATAGACTGTGATAGAAGGCATCAGAGATATTCTTCCTCCTCACTGCACACTGGAAAAAGGAGGAAAAGCAGAAGTCTCCCAGGGAGACAGGAAAAGCCAGATGCCAGTTCTGGGACAGATGGGCAAAGAGCACTTAGTAAAATAGCCGAGAGGGAAGCGTAGAAATATGGGGCCCAGGAAAGAGGCCACAGAATAAAGATCTAAAAGGGCACGGAAAGGTCTGGGAAAAAAATGGCCACATCCAAGCGTGGCATCTAATGACCAAGTAGCAATTCCAGCTGTCCATGGAAAAGGAAGCGAGAGACGTGAGACTCAAGAGAATCTCTCGGACGAAGGAAGAAGCGGCGCTGGGTCATCAGAACTCAGTTCTTGATTAAGATAGAAGAAACAGCCAGACCCAGTCTCCACTAACTCGACTAAAAAGCAAAAATCTGAGTACATACAGGCTTTCCCTACATGCAAAGAGATAGCACTTGAAGCAGGCACTCTCTGTTTCATTGGTTTTGTTGTTGAAACCTGGCAGTATCTGGTAATGGGGATCGAAAATTCATAAATGTTTTATCTTAGGAAGTTGTTATGCCTTGGCCTCTATAAAATTGCTCTGTAGGTGCTGGGATTTGCAGTTATCACACCCAGCAGTCTTCATTATAAGGCGAGATGAAAGAGAGGGGCAGCTTCCACTCAATAAATATGACTCACTGGCTTCCTGTCCACGTCGACGCTGTTAACAAATGGCCTTAGCAGGTGACAGCGACACAGTTGTGCTTCCGTTTTTCTTACAATGATCCCAGTATAATTGTTCTCCAGGATTCAGTCTGACAAGTAAATACGCTTATGAAACACCTTTCTAACACAAAGGAGTAAAATCCAAAATGTATGCTGATTTATTTCCTAAAAGTTGTCCTCTGAATATAGCACCTGGTTCCCGGTAACTGGATTATAATGAATAATGGGGGAAGGAAAAAGTCACGTGTTTCAGGGCATTTCCTACGCTGGAACCTTCAACCTCAAGGTGATATATCCAGAATAAAATCTCCTGTACGCATTACCAGGCTGCAGTTGCTTTTAAACTAGAAAAGACGGGCACTTAGACTAATGTTTTCCACGGGAAAAACTACAATTTAAATACATCATAAGCTCTAATTACTGTCATAATTTTGTGGCCTCATTTCAGCTTTGCAGCAATGCATACGTAAAAATAGACCACTTTATCTACCCCCGCATACACTTTTCTACATCTTCCCCAACCGGAAAAAAAAAAAAAAAAAAAAAAAAAAAAAAGCAAAGCAGCAGCTTAGGGAAGCACTGGATGAAGACATTCATGGGTCTGAAACCATGCACGATGTCTCTACCAGTCAGGAACGGCCCAGGGAAATGCCGTCTAATGTAACTGAAAGGGCGTAACAGTCCTGTGCCATTCACAGACGGGGACTTGTCCTAATAAATGCATCCTTGGTGCATTTAGTCACTGCGTGACATCCGGGACTTACATAGCTAGGCTGTCACTAGGGAACATAATCTTATTGGACCACGGTCATAAATGGGGTCCACTGGTGACCAAAAATATCATTATGTGGCCCATGTCTACATGTAATGAAAGAAGTGTTACAATTTCTAGACTAAAAAGAAACTGTAGGCTAAGGTGGGCCCGAATGAGGGAGTCTCCTCATAGACTTACTTAGTTCTTAACTTGAAGTTGGAGATTGTCCTGAGGTATTTGTCCTAACGTCCATGTGCTGTAAAAACTAGCACAGTGTCCTTTGTCCACTGGGCACTCACTTTGGCCTGGCTCATTGGGAACGAACCAAAACTTCATATACAGGACCTCAGAAACGAAGACTGTAAAGCATATGGCCCGACTGTAAACTAAATGAAACCACTGCTCACGTTCACCACCTTGGTCCAAAGGCAGCAGCAGCCATAGGCAGAGTCGTGCCAGGGAAAGTCAGATGATCACTTGTGTTCATGATGTATTTCTCTTCAATGTCCAGGGCCCTCCTTGCCTTTCTTGCCCACCCCCTAAAAGATAATTTTTGTTTGTTACCTCTTACCGACATTTATTTTGACAATTTTTTTCTGAGAGTCCATCCTCATCCTCTCCCATGATGTCCACAGCTGAAAATATCAAAGCGACAAGAATGGCAAAGCAGCAGACCAGGGCGAAGATCACGATGCACTTCTGCTGGGACTGGAAGAGAAAGAAGGGGGACAAGGGTAAGTCGGCGCCATCACTCAGCAAAGTGCTTCTGGGGTATCAGTACTTGGATCACTTCTAGAGAAGGGCAGTGCTGCGGGTGAAATTACCCAGGACCTTAGGCATGTTCCTCAACACAGACTTTAGGACCCACCGAACTGTTTGGCCGTGTTAAATAATTTAAGTGTGATATTCAGACTTCTGAGCTACTTTGCTTTTCCTCTTTCTGATCAAAAGGTTTTCTGAGTCCAGAAAACCTACAACGTGGGAAAAACTTTTTGCCAGCTGCTCCTCAGACAAAGGACTATTATCTAAAATATTTAAAGAACTCAAAACAACCAGACCCCCCCCAAATATAAGACCCAATTCTAAAATGGGCATCTGAAATGAAGAGACATTTCTCAGATAAAGAAATAAAAGCAGCAAGTAAATATATGAAAATATGTTCCACACCACTGGTCATGCGAGAGATGCAGATGAAAACAACACTGAAATTTCACCTCACCCTCACAAAGAATGGCTGCTATCAAGAAATCACACAATAACAAATGTTGGTGGGGTTGTGGGGAGAAAGGAACCCTTCTCCATTGTTGGCGGGAGTGCAGACTGGTGCAACAACTATGGAAGTCAATATGGAGATACCTCAAAGAACTAGGACTAGAGGATCCATTTGACCCAGCCATCCCTCTGCTGGGTATCTTTCCAAAAGAATTAAAAATCATACCACAGTGATATATGCGCACCAATGTTTATAGAGGCACAGTCTGTAATAGCTAAAACTTGGAAACAGCCCATCTGCCCATCAGTTGGAAACTGGATAAAGAAGATGTGGCTTTTCTATAAAAAAGGG